CTCCTGGATCTYTGGCAGTGTCCAARGCCAGGCTGRRCAGGGYTTGGRGCACCCTGGGACAGTGGAAGGTGTCCCTGCCCATCACCTGATGATTTTTCAGGTCCTTCCAACCCAAACTGTCCTGCAATTCTAAGATTCTCTTTATCAAATTCTTCTGTGGTGGTGCCCCCTCAATATCAAAATGTCACAACAGAGAAATGTCACAAGTCCCTGCCTGTGTGTTTGTTAGTTTTGAAAACACCTCTRTGATGCTGTTTTACAATATGGAATTTTGGACTGGAGTTTGGAAAGGGACAGCCATGTCCTTTTGGATGACCTTTTCCAAGTACATGGTACCTACCACGATGRATCCAGACTGTGGCTCATGAAGCTCCTGCAGAATAAACCAATTAAAAATACTTTTATTTAATAGCCTTTCTGAAGCTTTCYGTCCTCTTCTTTATGCTTTGGGTTATTGTGGATTTTGGTCAAAACCAAGTCCTTCTTAGTGTTTTCTTGAGTCTTTTGCCCCTTTGCTGCCCTTGCTCAGGTTGCTGCAGGTTGGGTTCAGAGTTGGAGGGGTCAGCTGGCCTTGGACCTTTTTCCAGTAATCTGRGTTGGAAGGAGGGCTGGGCTCTGAACTGGTTTTTTTTTTTCCTCTGAGATGACTAAAACACATTCTTGAGCCCCTTATTAGTGCTGGTGCTTTAGCAATAATTTCCCCCACAAAATCTTCTAAGAGCTTCTGGGGCTTTTYCCCCCCTCTTCTCTTTACAGCAATTTAAAGCCCTTTTATTAAATTCAAACGCCACTGTTTGATAGTTCATCTCTAAGCTATAATTACCCAATATGAAGATGCAAGCACAAAATAATTTCCTAGGGAGGTTTACACAAAAGGGAATAACTCMTTATTATATTTTTCAGCCTTTTGAGAAAATCTATGAGAGGATGAATAAAGGGAAGAGTGATGATAGAGCAGCACAGATACAAACCTGATGATCTTACTCCGATTCTGTCGGGCTTTCTGCTCCAGTGGCTTCCTTAGAGAGCATTGTCAGAAAGAAAAATCACAGTGCTGGAAGTGGCTCGAGCAATCAATCAGTGGCCAGCGAGGAGGTGGGGGATCAGATGGATTCCCTTTTGAATTTAATCAAAACACACTTCAAAGGCATTTAATCATATATTTGGTGCCTGGCTCCCTGGCACAGGACTTGTAATCCCACAAAAGAGAGGCCAAAAGACAATTATKCAAGTTCTAAACTCTTTTTGCTGTAGATACCAAGTTTTTGGATAATTGTGTTTTCCTGGACTGGCCCTTGGGCGGATTGATTTACAGAAAATAATGGCTTTTTGTTTCTTCACTGCTGGAAGGATCTAAACTACTCTTTTCCARCCTGTGCCTGTGCAGTGCCTGGATTATTGCCAGAGGTGACAAAGAAAAGTGTGTCTTCACAGGGCAGTGACACAGGAGAAACTCCTGAAGGTCCATGTATTGAAGAAGGTGTTTTATTCCCTTTTTCTGCAGCTAGAAACCCAAATAGCCAGGGATTTGTGTTTCCATCTTCTCCAGGAGAATGCAGTGACCCAGTGCACTGTGACAGCCCTTATCRCAGGCTGGGGGAGCAAACCTGAGGGAGATAAATGCACCAGGAGCAGGTACCCACTGCTTTGTGGGAAAGCAGAAATGCAGATTAAGATGGTTGTGGCTCTGGAGAGGTGTATAAATAATTTCTATTAATTATTTCTGCATCTGAATAGAGCATAGTAAGAATGCTTTACTTCTCACAGCCATCTTTGGGGGATCAGATATGTTCCTGTGTCAAATTTAATAATGAATTTAGACATGGATTAATTTAAAAAAAAACAAAACATCAGAATTGTTTGCCTGCTTTCAGTTTGCTTGTCTTAGGGAGTAAGAAGAGAAAAACTGAGTCATGTCTCCTCAGTCKTGTCTCCTCAGCCTTGTTGCTATTTCCAAATGAGTTTTAGGAGCATGAAATCTCTGTGTGTTTTCCCAGTCCCACAGARTTATCCTCAGCTCAGTGCATCACTGGGGGAAGCAGAGCTGGTTTATCTGTGCAGATGTGAATGTTCCTCACTCCTGGGGCTCGTGGTGGGTTTTGATTTCTCTGTTTTCTCTCCATCCCATCCCAGCACTTTTAGACAACTCCTCTTGTTTTCCCTTTCTCCTTTGCAGCCTGATGCTCTGCTCAGCCCTCGCTCTGACGTTCAGCATTTCTTCCTTGCCATCCCTGTTCCCAGCAGGCGTTTCCATGGCGTGGGAGTGGAGTATAACATCCCTCTTGTCTCATAAGTGTGAAAAAGCTCTTTCCTTCAGGAATTAAACAACCAATCCTCACCCCTYGCATGTGTACTGTCCTCTTATCTTAGCCCACGATACTGGTGTATTTTTTAACCTTTAATGGTGCTTTTTCTTTTTAACCTCCCAGTAAAGCATGGACAGATGGTTGGAGGTCTGGTGGGGTGTGTCTGGAGATCTTTTGATTATTCCCTGTGTCAGACAGCTGCAGGATTTTTTCATTTGAAGCTGCATTAATAGGCACAAAATGGTGAAGGGTGCTTTAGTTCTGACTGTCGGTGGAATGTTGATGGGTAAATAGAGTTAGCAGTGCCTGCCCTTAAATCCATCCTTACAGGAGAAGGTGCCCAGGTGTGTCAGGTTTGGTGTTTTATATTGGAGAGTGGCACCAGGAGCTGCCAGGGAGGAAGGGCACACAAGTCCAGCTGCTTTTATAGGATTCCAGACTGGTCTGAGTTTGAAGGGACCTTGAAGCTCATCTCRTTCCACCCCCTGCCATGGRCAGGGACAWCTTCCACCATCCCAGGGTGCTCCAAACCCTGTCCAGCCTGGCCCAGGACACTTCCAGGGATGGGGCACTGCATTTCCAGCACCCCCAAGTGCCGTGTTCTGTCACACCCTGGCACCCATAACTTACACAGGGAAGTAATTACAGAGTGTTAATGAATTAGGGAGCCCCTGAATGGGGCTGAACAGCCGCTGAACACATTTCCAAATGTGAAATAGTGGAGTTACAATCCATTTGTAGCTGTTTAGGCACCCTCTTGACTCTTCACTTCATGGTTTCACTCGAAGAAGGACGAAAACATGAGGCCATCAGAAATCAATTCATCTGGTCTGGGAGCATGCTTATTAAAATTCTTTACTTAAAAAGATCCAGATATTGCACAGCAGAGCAGAATTCAGGAACATTTGGATCCCTGATCTGTGTGTTTCTGTAAGCTTAGCCTGTTTGCATTACTCTTTTGTTTGGATTATTTCTTTGTTTGGATTACTCTTTTGTTTGTTTGGATTACTTTTTGTTTGGACTGCAAGTTTTCTATTTGTTTTAGGGTAGTTGAACCTTCTTTAGAAGGTATTTGACCTTAAATTGCTGGTGTGCACACTTAATTCTCAGCTCTAATATTAATCTAGCTGGATATTCAGGAATTTMAGAAAGAAAARCCACGAAAATGAGAATGGTTTTGCAAAACCTTTTCCAGATTCAACAGCTGAAGGAATATCTAGTTGGTCTGAGGAGCTCTCAGCAATACTAGACTTGATGTGGGTTGATGATGGGGAGAGCCTGGTGTGCTCCAGAGGTGATTAAATGACAGCCATTCCAAAGATAATAACTCTTGGCAACTGTCTGCCGATCCAGTGTTTCCCCCTGTAGGTTTTGGGTTTTGATTTCTCTGTTTTCTCTCCATTCCAGCACCTGTCTGCCGATCCAGCGCTTCCCCCTGTAGGGTTTCTTCTTCCTTGCCTCAGTTGGCAGAGGACCCCGGCCCCTCAGTGCCACCGTGTGCTGCTGGTGCTGAGCCGTGTGCCCATGGGTGCCTGGGCTCTGGCCCTGCTCCCAAGGGCTGCAGGAGGGGTCCTTGCTCTGGGTGCCCCCAGAGGGATCCCCGATCCCCCAGTTCCACCATGTGCTGGGTGCTGCTGACGCTGAGCCGTGTGCCCGTGGTGCTCCCAAGGGCTGCAGGAGGGGTCCCCGTGCTGGTGCCCCCAGCTCTGCCCCAGCCCTTGGCCGCCTTTGCCTCTGCGCTCGTGTCACAATAATGACTTGCAAACACGGAGCTTTTGGGCCGGTTGCTATGGTTACCCCTCGGCACGGAGACACCGGTCCCAGGCAATACATCCCCAGCCTTAATGAAATGCGCAGCAGTGTGTTCGACTTGTAAACCCGCCGCGGATATCGCTAAGCAACATCCATCCGTGATTTGCCATAATTACTGCTGCGAGCTCCGCGCCATTGCGATGCTGGAGCGTGAGGCTTCCTTCTCCACTGCATCAAATGCTTTGCTGCAGGAGCTTCGCAGTCTCTCGGACCTGTGATGTTTCATAGTCCCTTCACACTTTCAAAGAACTSAGTTTGACCTCTTTAAATTATTCACACCTTCAGACCGGCAACATCTCCCCAATCTCCTTTTGTGTGTGTCGCCTGTTTCCTGCTCATTCACTCCCAGAAATTTATCGTAAAGACCTTTGATTCTTCTKCCCTAGTTTGAGATTGTGAATCCAACTCATTTCCTCCAAGCTGCTTCTTGTGTATTTGAAAAAATCCAATCCCACCAACCYGTGTTGGTGTTGAATTAAAATGTGTGTGTGGAGCTGTTTGTGCCAGGATCTGCTCCAGGAGGAACCAGTGCCTTAGGTCATTTAGAATCYAAGACCGGTTTGAGTTGGAAGGGACTTTAACACCCATCTTGTTCCAACCCCTCTGGGCAGGGACACCTTCCACTGGACCAGCTGGAAGTTTTCTGCTAAGAGCTTTTATTTAGTATCTGTCTTGACTGAGGTGTTCTATATACCAGCTTGAGAAGTAGAATAAAACCAGACCCGAGTGAGAAGTCCACAGTCCAGCCTTCAAGTCAAATAATCCATTGCAATTGCAGTTCTTGAATTACTTGCCTTGTGCTGGTGGTTGGGGTGGTTGGGAATCTCTCTGCCAGGTTCTCAGTCTGTTTCCCTGTGTTCTGTGAATATTTTCCATGTACAGCACCAGAGCTGCCAATCCTAGAGAGGAGGAACTGGTTGATTTATCTGCTTTACGTCCGCAGAGACTACGAGGAGTGCAAGGTAAGAGCTGCCTCCAGAATCTGGGAATTATTATACTGATGTCATGAAGAAATAGTTTTCAATTCCAGACAATTTCCAAACCACCCTCTTTYCTGACTTCTTTTGGAATAAAGGGACCAAGAGAAAACACAAGTAAAATTACTTCAGTGTTCTCCARTCCTTGGCTACCTTCAGGATCTGAGGATGCAGCTCTCTGGAGCAATCTGTGAGCTCAGGATGTCACTGGGAGGGGAAAACTGGAAAGAACTGCAAACCTCTCGTGTTCCAAGTGATGGATGGGGTTTTCCAAACTGGTAATCACACAGTTCCACAGTGCAGGTTTCTTAATGGTACTACAGAGAKGCAATGAAAATACTTCAGTTGAGGGGAACATTACTACCAAGTGTAAATAAAAAATATGGTTACCCTTGAKCAAAATTCTTTCATTTTACACATGATCCATGGCACCTTTTAATTCATCTTGGGTTTTGGTGGGTAGCTTGGAAGTGGTTTGGGATTATGGTAAGTGGACTAAGGAAATGGCAAATTATTGTTTAACTGTGTTTTCCTGAWAAAATGAACACGAGGAGATGATGAGCACACAGGCAGGAGGAGGGGACAAGAGTTGGATTTCTGATTCTGGCATGGGCAACAACGATCTGAAAAATCATTTTRGCATCTGAAACACCAGGTTGGTCAGGACTTGCTCTGCTGGAGAGGTCCTGGAGGTGCTTAGGAAACGGGCAGGCTGGAGGAAATTCATTTAGCTCTTAATTAACAGATCTGGGGGGTAGTATCATCAGCTCAGTGATTTCCTCTCAGATCTTGGTTTGCATAGATACAAACACAAGTTGGACTAGCCCTCWAAACAGAAAATTGTTTCCCTTTTCTGTTGTCTGACCGGGTTTTTTTCGTGTGATTCTGTGTGTTGATAGTTTCTGTGATGGGATGTGAAATCAAAGTACAGAGAAGAAAAATCTGTGTGGCTCAGGAAAGCAGAGAAAACAACAAGTGGATGATATAAGGGCAACACTGGCATCTCCACATCTTCATCAGTCATGGAAGTGAGGAAATAGCAGGGGAAAACCAAGAGAAGACAGCTAATAAATACTRCTCTGCTTGTCAGGCCAGCTTTGCTCTTCCTCAGAGCCACAAAGCCGTGGTTTTGCAGTAAAATTGGAACATTCCAAGACAGTTGGGGCATTTGTTAAAATCCATTCGTTTRGTCTCAGGAAGAAACAAGTGACCTGTCATGTTAATTAATTTTGGTCTTTCCCACTCTGTGCTTTGAAATGCTCCCTAATACAGTTTTAAAATCTCCCACAGTTTTCAGCCAACTGAAAGACCACTAAAAATTGTTTATTTGCTAACATCAGCTCCCCAAAGTGGAGGCATGAACGTGATTTTAACCCTTTCAGTGCCACTCCAGCAGAATCTGTAGCTGCAGCATCCCCTGGGGATCACACAGGGACTGGTTGGTCTCCTGCCAGTTGTGGCTAAATTCTGTCATTGGCAGCTTAAATAAACTTGGGGGGAAATCTAGGATTACAGATCGTATTTCTCAGCTGAAGGCCTTTTGCTGTGGGACTTTTTAGGGTTTACAGAATTAATCAGATCTCTCTAAAAGATAGCTCTCTATTGCCCTCTCTTGCTCTGAGAATCTGGGCTTATGTAGATGGAGCAATCCTGAGTRTCGGAATTGAGGAGATGTTGGTTATTTCTGAGCGAATGTTTTATAACAAAGCACTTTGTAAAGAGTTCTATGGATAAATTAGCAGGCACAGATGAGGCAGGAGCAGCCCAGACTTGCTCTTCCTTTTCCTTCCTCTTTTTACGAGTGAGGATTGTCAGTAAGATCGTTCCTTCTCCTCAATAATAACTTCTTAATTAATACCTTCTCAAGAGTAACTTTTTCAATAATAGTTTTCCTTCCACGTGCTGTCTTTGAGGTTCAGTTTTCAGGTCCTTCACTTCTGCTCGTTCTGGAGGCAGGGGATGCTCGTACTGACCATACACATCTGGAATGTCAGCTCACTGCTCACCCAGAAATTTTCTTAAYCCCCTGTATCTCTTCCACTTCTGCACAGAAGAGGAGTGAGTCTCAGAGCAGAAATTTTGCTCTCGATTCCTATCCAGGGTGTTCATCCTCCCAAAGATGGGACCAGTTTTCGGGTTGTRTGTGACTGTGGAATATATCGAAGCTGCACCCACCCCAAACTGGGAGCTGCATGGGTGCAGCCAGCAAGAATTCACATTTCCATCAGGCTTTTTTCCCTGTGCACTCCTCATTTGTTCATTTGGCTTTCATTGCCTGGGCTACAGTTGCTGCAGTTCTATTTATTTCTTCACAAAGGGCCTGGAGTAGATACCCTTATCAGCAGAGGATGCTTTCAGAGATGCCTCGTGGCCTTTTCCCCAGGTAGTATCTAATTGTCTTTGGGAACAGGAATGAACAGAAGAATACTAAAAGGGCCACAGTGTTCCTGGCACAGAACTCGGTGCTGTGCACTGTGTGTTTGTCCCAGCCAGGGTCCAGTGCCTTTGGTACAGGTGGGGTTGTGGTTTTTSTGACTGGAACTAAATCTCTGGAATCAGCTTTGTTAAAATAATGTGAGTTTACAATTGTGTCCTTCCAGGCTGTCATCAAAGAGCAGCTCCAGGAGTCCCAAGGGCTCTGTGAATATGCTGTCTACGTTCAAGGTACGTCCGAAAATCTTCTTTTTGCTAAAAGATCACCCCCRATTTGAGATTCAGAGAACAATACAGGGGATAGATGAGGGAAACATAAAATTTTTATGTAAAAAATACATTTCCCCCCAAATGCATGCTCCATCTACTTTTGAGGTTTGGGATTTTCACATGAAATGGGCAGAATAAATGTCCTGGTTTTTCTGTATTTGTCACCAGTTCCTCCTGGGATTAGGGGCTCCTGGCCTTCAGTGTGTTTGACTGTGTTCCAGATGCATGTTTTCTGTTCATTACCCACCCCAGGGGATTGTTTTCTCACTCCTTGCTCTAAGGATGGCACTCCTCTTCCTGCCCTGCCCTCTGGTCCCTAAAACACATCCCCCAAAAGGTGGCATTCCAATTCCAAGTGTTGTGGTGGGGGGGCAATAGAGATTTGCTGGCAGGGCCACGGTACAGCCTGGAGAAGCTGGGGAGGGGAGGAACCCAGGCTGCCTCTGTACAAGCAGCTGCCCAAGGTTTAAAGCTTAAAGCTTTGATTCTGACYCCCGAATTCCTTAAGGCCCACGGASTYCTGCCCTCAGCCACACGCTGYGGGTGCTGCAGGAGGGGGAAGCGCCAGAGGAGCGTTTTTGTGATGTATCTGCACTCCCCTTCTTTCCCTGCTGTCAGAGGCACGTTTTGCCCGCTGATAATGGATTCATTTCCCTCCTGTATGTTGTCTTACAGCTTTGATATTTCGCTTGGAGGGGAAAATTCAAGAATCTCTTGAACTTTTCCAGACATGTTCCATTCTGAACCCTCGAAGCGCTGACAACCTCAAGCAGGTGGCACGATCCCTGTGAGTGGTGTTTTATTTATTGTTTCTCTTGGCTGTGCCACCCAGGACCTTCCACGCTTTGTTTTTCTCTTAGGCTACTTAATTCCAGACATGTTTCCTCCTTATCAACAYTTGGCTTGGCGTCCAGAAGCGTGGGTTGTTCTTTAAGCAGGATSTCTGTTATCTGCCTGGCTGCTATTGTGTTTTCTCTTTCTTTGGGCTTCARGCAGAAAGGTGATACTGGTTTCAAGGTCCACAGCCACAGGTGCTGAYCTGAGCTGGGCAGGCTTGCCCAACAGAGCCTTTTCTGTCTCTGAATGTTGTGTTAGGTCACCTGTCTCCGTTCTTGGAGACAAAAACAAGCTGCAGAGTTTGGGAATTCATTCTGTACATCCCCAGTAATGTCAGGATGGATGACCCAGCCCTGAGAGGGAGAAGGGCTGAGATTGCTGAGATTGTAAACTTCTCCTGCAGATCTCTGGAGAAGCAGCAAATAGCATCATTTCTCACTGRCAGAGGTGATAGTGGCTGCACAGTGTGGGTGTGAAAACAGGAAAAACCTAAGAGTTGCAATCCTTTTGCAGGTTTCTCCTGGGGAAGCACAAGGCAGCCATCGAAGTGTACAATGAAGCAGCAAAACTCGATGAGAAGGACTGGGTGAGTGTTCAGGGAGCTGCAGATCCTTGTAGAGATTGCAGACTTGTCCCAAGCCRAGGAGCTCACCCTGCCTGTGGTCTGAGCCTGGTTTGGGTCACAGGAGCCACATCCCACCCCTTGGCTCAGGACAATTGAGCAACGTGTTTGAGCTTCGCAGAAGATCTGTTTTAATGTAACTACCTCTATCCTGGAGGGGAAGGATGGGAAGGGTTTGGAAACCTTCAGTTATTAAAACTTGTCTGAGTAATTGGGAGAGCTTTTGTAATGCAAAACACCACTGAAAATGCAGGAGCAGTGATTTAATTAGCTGTTCTATAGAAAAAGAAAAAAAGAGAGGAAGAGCATTGCAAAGGGGAAGGTGTGACAGTGGATGAGAGAGAGGCCGTGCCTTGCAGCTTTCTGCAGGTGCCTGTTTTGCCTGCAGAAGTGTTTCTAAAGTGGGCTTGCAATGTGTGAGCTCATTCCTTTGTTTGTCAGTACCTCTAAAATCRGGATGCAAGGATAGTTTTGGTGTTATTCAACCTACCCCGTGCCAGACAGCTCAGACCCTTTTGTGTCAGGAGTGTGTCCCCAGCTGCATTGAGTGCTTGGCACACCTGCAGCCCTGTTTACAGCCCAGCAGGCAGGTGCCAGGGGCTGTTTGCATCGTGCCAGGGGCTGTTTGCATCGGTTCCTCCCCATTTCTGCCTCAGAACAGGAAGCAGAGCCAGGCTGAGCTCTTCACTCGTTCTACAACCCACAGCAAGCTGTAGTCACTGGTTCACTTTTGCACAGCTGGAGAGGCTGCATGGAGCAAAACAGGTTAATGGGGAAATARGAGAGTTTCCTGTGAGAGGTCAAGGCTGTCRAAGCTGGTGAATCAGTGAGAGGCTCACTAGAATAAAATAAGGAATGGGAAGACCTGATTTTTCAGGGATGTGCCTGGATGGGGCAGATGCTTTGTGTGTTAAACTGTGGGTGAGGAATTAGGGGTTTGGATGATCCTTACAATATCACCAGAGTGTTTAGGATCCCTCAGRGATCTTCCTGCCCTGTGCAGAATGGTTTAGGACACCAGAGGGATATCAGATATTMCGGTGCTCAACTTGTGCTTTGGAAAATCAGGCACATCTTGCARTTCTGTCCAGCTGGGTAAGACATTTGCATGACCTCCTGATGTACAGCCAGACTGAGTCACCCATGAGAGCAGCTTCCCTGGGTTTAGAGRGTGACRTCWTGGGGAAGAAACCAGTCTATGCTCRCTGTTCTCTGAAGAGGAATTTCTGATCTCTCTAAAGAGAGATTTGTCCTTTCTGTGGTTTTTGTCTCAGCAGACTGTAATGTCTGCTTAAAAAATGCCCCGTAAGCTTTGTAGGTTCTTGAAGTAACTGGAATTTATAGGTTCACTTGCTCCACAAAGCAAGAAGAGTGTGGGCAGGCACAGGGCTCTCCTGGTCCAAGTCAGTGTTGTCAGATTTTATATTTCATACCTTGTGTTGATTTGGTTTTGGGTTTGGTTTTTTTTTTTTCATGCAGGAGATCAGCCACAACCTGGGTGTGTGCTATATGTACCTGAAACACTTYAACAAGGTAAGGCCAGTGAGAAGCAGGAAGCATCCCAGAAACTTCTCTGTCTTTGGTAGCTTGAAATGGGTCATTTGAAGTGAGAGGTATCAAGAATGCTTTTTGCTTCAATGTTTGTTTCTGGGAACAAGTTTGTGAGCTGTCTCTGTTCCCATTCGTGTGTTGAATTACCTTGAGTCAGCTGCATGTCAGTGAGGTTGGATAAAGGGAGATCAGCCTGTGGCAGGACCAGAGGCTTTTTCTGAAATTTAAGATTTTTCAGAGAGCATTTCTGGGTTTAAAGGGAAYGTTTGAGAAACCTCAAACTAGACAGAGAATGGGCTGTGCTCCAGCAGGAGCTGCTTCTGTCTCTGAGCCCTTGAAAGCCAGACCCAGGATCTCTGCTGGCTTTGTAGGAGCAGCAGTCCAGATYCATCCTCTTGAAGCAAGAGTAGGCYGATGGTAAAGCYCAGACCATTTCCTCAGCTCAAACTGCTGCACCTCGTGCAGAGAGTTCCTGAAGGAAACCTCAGCCCCTTGGGTCTGGTGGGATTCGGAGGGAGAGAGTTGTGGGGTTGTTTGCTGGAGGTGCAGCAGGTCCTTTTCTCCTCCATGGTTTTGCTCCTGTGTCTGAAGCTCCTGATGAACTAAAGCTGGAGTTAGTAAAGGAGTTTTGGAGGATGAAATGCAGTTTCATTCCCAGCTCTGAGCATGCCATTCCCAGCTCCTCASGTGTCCATCCCCTGAGTGCTGGTGGTGGGCACTGAGCTGTCTCTGATCCAGCTGCTTTGTAAGGGAAGAACCAGCACTGAGACCCTTTTTGTTCCCAGTTTGGCCCATCTGCTCCCTGTTCTTACTGATGTGGTGCTGTGACCCCTGCAGCCAACCCCAGCTGTGCTCCCTGTCCAGGGCATCCCTTTCCAACAAGGAGCTCTGGAGTGTGGSTTCACACTTGGGATTTGTATTCTGCTCTGACACCTTCCAAACTGGGACCTGCTCACATCTCACTGGGATTTTCACTTGCTCACTGCTGGCATAAGCATTTCAAGGAAGAAGAAGCTGTAAAGTATCAGTTCACCCAACAAATCCCGAGCGTCCCTCAGGCCAAGCAAACTCAAATCCAGGAACAGGCCTGTGCTCGTCTCCTCCTTGGGAGGCCGTTGCTCTTGCTTGGCTTGAAGGTGCTGCCTTTTGCTGCCCCAAAAAGCAGGTGGCTGCTGGTGCAGAGCTTGTTCCAAGGATTAGCTGGACTGGGCTTTGTGTTCTCCAGGCTCAGGGGGTGGTTGTTGGCTCGCCCTCCTTCCCTGGCTGTTGGGCATTATTCATGGCTGTTGCTTGGCTGAGGGCTCTGCAATCATTTATTGGTTTTTATTCTCTRTGGTTGTTTTTTTAGGCACAAGACCAGCTCAACAATGCCCTGGAGCTCAACAGACATGATCTGACCTACATGATGCTGGGCAAGATTCACCTCTTGGAGGGGGACACGGATAAAGCCATTGAAGTCTATAAGAAAGCTGTAGAGTGAGAAATATTCCTTTTTTCCATCTGCCCATTCCCATCCTATGCCAGGAGAAAATTGATTGGTGTCCCAGATCTGAACTGGGGCCATGATTAAAGAGCTAATGGTAATTACAGAGGCTCTGAGCAAAGCTGGCACTTCCAAGCACTTCAGCTGTCTGTGCTCCTGCTGGCAGCGTGGCAGGGAAGAGGGGAGCTGTTGGAAGGGCTGCCAGAGAAAAAGGGGAATAACAAATGGATGGAGATGCCTGGGGGCAAAGCGACACAGCACTGACTTCATCCATCCCGAAGGTTTATCCACCAGAGCCATGTGACCCTGACTGCCCATCCCAAACCCCTGGCTGGGTGTCAGAGGCTGCTCCCCGTCGTCGCAGCAGTTTGGGGCTGAGGRAGATGTGCTGGTGCACAGGGAGCTCCTCCCAGCCCATCACATCTCCTCAATGCCCTTCTGTCCTTGTTTTAGGGCATTCCCAGGCATTCCCAGTGCTTTGAAATGCAGCTTTGCATTGGAGGCCAACACTCTGAAGGAAATCAGGAGTGTGTTKGGAGCCCCTGGAGTGTCTCCATTGTGTTCCCTTCCTCAGCTGCTGCCTGGCAGTGGTTGGGTTGGGGAGACATTTGGTTAATCTGCAATGTTTATTACGTAAATAATCCTTGCTAAGCATCTTAGCAGGTTTATATTCTTATCCTGGTGCTCCCCTGCCCTCCTTTCTTCTTCATTCCTGGATTTTTTTTGTTCCCATCTGCCTGTTACATTTTTCTTGCTGGTTCCAGCTCCAGGATAGTCTGTTATTCCATGTTTATTTTCCACCAGGCACAGTGGTTTTGTTCTGGTTGTGATTTATAGGTGCCAATATGACCATGCAGATCAGATTTTTTAAGTCGTGGTATCAGGAAATTAAAAACTGACTCCTGTTGAGGTGAGACAGACTACAAATCGTGTCTCTGTCTGCTTTGTCCTTTTTTGTTGTGGTTTCCATCCTATTTCATTGTAATCTTTTTATAAGGTGAATTAAAATTCTGATGAGGAGTGTGTAGGATCCATCAGGAATGCTGAGGATTGTCCTACGTGGCCCAAGAGGCTTAGGATGGATGGATTTACAGGGTGGTTTATGAGAGATGATGGAAAATCCCATTTTGTATTTCCAGGTCACTGATTCAGACTCACTTTGAAGCTTAACAAAACCACATTATCTTATTATGCTCAGATCTATTTCGCAGAGCCTTGTTGCCTTCCTCCTGATACCCAGAAGATATTTGGGAAGCTGAGGTGTGATGTTACACAAAASAAGTCCCCATGATGGCAGTTGTTGTGATATTTGTGTTTAATAATAACAATTTAATTTCCTGGAGAGATACCACAGAATCACTCTGTAACATCACAATTCCATGTTATGTTTTCACCCTGTTCTGGAAGAGCTGCAAAGCAAACCCAGCCCTCTGGCTTTTGTGTTCCAGGTTTTCTCCAGAAAACACAGAACTCCTCACATCCCTGGGCCTACTGTACCTGCAGGTACTAAATGCTGTTACTGTTACAAAAACTTGATTATTTTCACTATAACCATGTTGGGTTTTTTTATAGAGTTAATTTCTATCCACCTTCCCATGACTTGCACGTGTTTCTCCGCAGACTGAATTTAACGGGACAGAACTTGCTTTTCGGTATCTTCTCAATGCTACTAAAAGCAAGTTGATTCCCTGGACCAGAGCCAGAGCAGGAATTCTGTTTGGCAACCACCCTAATTCTGTTATAAATCCTCCAAGTACAACAAAACATGACTAGTCATTACCTTGTTTCTGCAGCAGGAGTCTTGCAAGTTATCCTGAAAAAACAGCCATGAAATTGTGTTAATGCACCATAAAGGAAAATCAGAATCCATTTAAATAACAAAGGTGTGCTTATCCTTGGGTCTGTGAAATGGATGGGAAAGGCTGGATTATTCCAGAAGAAAGCTTCCCAAAGAGTGAACAAGCAAAGAAGAATAGGCATTGGTGCCTGAAAGGAGGAGGCTCAGAGCCCCTTGCAGGGCCTAAAGGGGCTCCAGGAGAGCTGGAGAGGGACTGGGGACAAGGGATGTAGGGACAGGACACAGGGAATGGCTCCCACTGCCAGAGGGCAGGGATGGATGGGATATTGGGCAGGAATTGTTCCCTGTGAGGGTRGGSAGGCCCTGGCACAGGGTGCCCAGAGCAGCTGTGGCTGCCCCTGGATCCCTGRCAGTGCCCAAGGCCAGGCTGGATGGGGCTTGGAGCACCCTGGGACAGTGGAAGGTGGTCCTGCCATGGCAGGGGGTTTCTGACTGGGACAGGAGATCCCTGAGGAGTGAGGAATTTGTGGAGAGGGAACTGGGGATGTGCAGAATCGCAGTTTGTCACCTCTTTCCTGGGACAGAGAAAGGAGCAGAGGCATGGGAACCCACAGCTCATTTATGTGTGACAAAGAACACAAACTCTCTGGAAACCTTTGGTTGAGTCAGAACAGCAGATCCAGCCAAGCCAAATAAATTCTAAGAATCTGTTCTGTCACTTAGCAAACAGGAACATGTGTGTACAATAGGAGCACTGTAAAACTCACTTTTCTGGCTAAATTACTGAACCAGATATTCTGCTGCCCACGAAACCTGGGTTTTCCTTCTTAACTCCCCTTATTCCTGAATTGTTGATGTTCATTTACTTCTTTTTGCAGACTGGGGATTACCAGAAGGCTTTTGAACACCTTGGAAATGCACTTACCTACGACCCAGGCAACTACAAGGTAGGTGAGGAGTGGAAATGGAGCAGCTGAACCATGAGGGAACTCCACCTAAAGGTGATCCCACTGTCAGAGCTCTGYCATCTCCATCTGGGGCCTGGAGAGGCTGGAGAGGATCCTGCCCAGAATGCTTTTTGGGAACTGCATTTCAGGGATGTTTCACTGGACAGGGAGTTGGATGTGTGTGGAGGTGGGGAAAGGGGAGGAGGCAGAGTAGGGATGTTAAATTGGTCCCTTTTAATCTGAAGTTGCACCAAAGCCAGGTGGAATTTACTTTGGAAGGGAGGTCTTCTGGATTTTAAAAATCCCAGAAGAGCTGTGCCAGGTCCCTTGTGATCCAAGTGATGTTGAATTTTATTATTCTCCCATCTGCTGATACCCTGTGCTTCCAGCTGCTCTGTRTATTTCCTCGGCTCTGGCCTGGAAAGCTGATCCAGGTTTCATTCCTCACTGCTTCCCTTTTTAGGGCTGTTATTTCATTTCTCTCCTTTCTTCCCTGTTAACGATGCAGAGCATTGAAATKTGTGGTTGACAAACATGAGTTGTTGTGAAAACACCTTTACAYTTAGGAATTTGACTTGTCACTGTGAAACCTTATAAGGGACTTTACTAGTGTGGTTTAAATTTAGCGTGTTGTACTCACTTCCTTTTTTTCCCCATGCATATTCCCATTAATTTGCAGTATCAGCCAGTCAGTGTGAACTGGGAGAGCTTTGCTGCATGTGTCTTGCTGGAGTAGATTTTACTCCCCACATAATTTGCACCAGAACTATTTCTATCTGTGCTTGGTTGTAAAAAGAATCTGTTAGTGCACAGATCTTCTCAGAGCCTCAGACTCTGCTTCTGTCACCGCAAAAAATACCCTAAACAATTGTCATATTGCAATATTTATGGAATCATAGACTCACTGAATGGTTTGAGGTCAGAGGGACCTTAAGGATCATCTRATTTCACCCCYTGCCATGGCAGGGACACCTTCCACTGTCCCAAGGTGCTCCAAGCCCTGTCCAGCCTGGCCTTGGCACGGCCAGGGATCCAGGGGCAGCCACAGCTKCTCTGRGCAGCCTCATTTCTGAGACACTTATGACCAAGATAGTGCAAGAAGGAGCAGACTCAGGTCCCTYCTTCACCCTGTGTTCTGCCTTGTAGTGGGAGATCGCAGAGTCCCCATCTGTTCCCACCGTTGGTCTTGGCAGTCCTTGTTGCTGAGATGTTTTTATTTTAATCACTTTGTCCTCTTGTGTCCTTGCTGTGTGAGTGAACGGGGCTGTGGCTGGGTCTCTGTTGTTTCATCCCCAGGCCACCCTGGCTGCTGGCAGCATGATGCAGGCCCAYGGGGATTTCGATGTGGCCCTCTCCAAGTACAAGGTGGTGGCCAGCAGTGTTCCTGAGAGCCCTCCCCTCTGGAACAACATCGGCATGTGCTTCTTCGGCAAGAAGAAATATGTAGCAGTAAGTCCCTGCTGTCCATTTTCCCCCATCTGCATCACATTTTGTGCATCATAAGATTCCTGTGGTGTGGAGGTAGGAGCTCTGTCCTAGCACCTTTATCCCTTTTTCCTCCAGGCTATCAGCTGCCTGAAGAGGGCCAACTACCTGGCTCCCTTTGACTGGAAGATCCTGTACAACCTGGGCTTGGTGCACCTGACCATGCAGCAGTACGCCTCGGCCTTCCACTTCCTCAGCGCTGCCATCAACTTCCAGCCCAAGATGGCAGAGCTCTACATGCTGCTGGCAGGTATGGGCTGCTCCCTGCAGCTCCGTGTGCATCCCAGCAGGAATGCCACAGCACAGCTAGGAGGGGTGGGCTGAACTCAAGAAACACGGCTTAAAGGYTGCTCTAAGGAGCTGTTCCCCAGTCTCTTCTGTCTGGGGAATAGAAGGGAAAATTGCAGTCAGATCCAGATTAAACTCTGGAAAAGACCTGACACGTGTRAGACTGGGGTTGGGTGTGGATTTCCAGCACTGGATATTTTTGGCATGAGATAAAYGTGTCAGAAGTGACATTGTAAGGTTAGATGGGATATTTGGGAAGGAGTCTGAGGGTGGGGAGGCCCTGGCACAGGGGATGGCTGTCCCTGGATCCCTGACAGTGTCCAAGGCCAGCTTGGACAGGGCTTGGAGCACCCTGGGACAGTGGAAGGTGTCCCTGCCCATGGCAGGGGTGGCACTGGATGGGCTCTAAGGTCACTTCCATCCATTCAGTTCAGTAGGATTAATCCTGGCAGCAGTCCAGACAACCCTGCTGGCACCTATTTTGTGACACYCAGAACTGTCCTAAAAATGAGCTGCTTGTGAAACCTCTCCTGTGTGTGTGTATGCTTTGCTTTGGTGCAGTTGCTCTGACCAACCTTGAAGACATCGAGAATGCCAAATGCTCCTACGAACAAGCTGTKGCCCTGGACAAGTAAGTCTTTGTCAGAGCTGTCCCTTCTTCTTGCTTTGCCTCCCTGCATCTGATTTCTTTTTCCCCTCACTGCACCTCAACCCTAAATGATTTGCAATAGGAAACACTTTTTTTCTTGTAGCTGTGCAAGAGACAGCATTAAAACTTTTCTTTTTTTTTAATTCAATTAAGCTCTGAAAAATGAGAGAGGATTTTATTTCAGACCAACCCAAAGCTGGCTTTTGTTTTGCTGTTTGGTTAGTGAGTCAGTGGTGATGACTTTGGATGCCAGCCCTCCTTTTGGTGGATATTTATACATAGTGGAGCAGATTGAACAGAAGAAAAARCATATTCTTTAATCCAAACTTTGAGCACTGTGCAAAGCAGGGAGTTGCCTGGGGTAGAACCTGTTCGGAGCTGGGCAAGGGAGGATTTTRGCTGTGACAATGTGAGCAAGAAGTTTGGCAAGAATTTGCCCAAATAAAAGGGCAGCTCCTTCATTAAGAGCACCTATGTTTGCAGTCTAGGCCTTAAAATCAGAGCACTTGATTCCAGCAATGTTAGGCTGAACCTCAGAGTATGTCATCATTTCAGGCTGAAAATCAAAATTATCTCAGATTTATTAATAGTTTTGTTTCTCTCCCCAATTTACTGCGAATATTTGCACAGTTAGAGCACCCAGCACTCCCGAGCCCGGAGTCTGCCTGCTGGTGACARAGCGGTGCCAAAAGCACTTCCATCTGCAGGGGCCACACAGTGGTGATAGAGGAGATACCAGGGATAAATCCTYCCCTRTGGGGTGGGCAGGCCCTGGCACAGGGTGCCCAGAGCAGCTGTGGCTGCCCCTGGATCCCTGGCAGTGCCCAAGGCCAGGCTGGACACTGGGGCTGGGAGCACCCTGGGACGGTGGAAGGTGTCCCTGCCATGGCAGGGGTGGCACTGGATGGGCTTTAAGGTCTTTTCCCACCCAAACCATTCCCAGATTGTATTCACATCAGCTTTCCATGCCTAGCAAGGCTGCTCAGACTCCTTGGTCAGGGCCTCGTGTGCTTTGCCCACAGAGAAGGAGCTGTACATTGGCTCCCAACTTTGCCCAAGTGTTTGGCACTCGGGCGATGCTCCAGCTCCACAGTCCGACCAGGAAAATAAATCTCATCAAAGCAGCCATGAATTCCAACTGCCAGAGCCTGCTGGGAGGAACATGCAGGCTGTGAGGCTGGTTCAGCTGACAGGCTGTGCATTTTGGCCAGTTACTGTGTGGCTGAATCTGTGTCCCCACAGGTTTCCTTTGCTGTGTGCTTGGAGRGAGCTGTTTGGGGTGAAATGGTTGGTTTCCAGCACCAGGAATGCTTTTGTGGTGGCCTGGGTGCTGTGCTGGGGGCTGGAACGGAAACATTTTGGAAAGCCCTTTAGAAAAAGGTGTTCTCACTCCTTCTGGCTTGTAGCTGTCCTCTCTGTGGTTATTCAGCTATTGATTTTTCTCTGACTGTCATATTGCTTCTCAGCTCTTGAAAGAAGTGAAATAGCTCCATCAGGTTCAATTAATTTTAGAACTGGCTGTTCCCAGGACTGTCTGATCTCCTCAGTGTTTTGGCAAAGACAGAAAGGAGGGTTTATTCTGTGGTGGGCTCAGCATTCCAGTTTCCCAGTTAGAGGAGAAGCCATGGTTACAAGTGCAGTCAGATTTCTCCTGACAATTGCTGTCCTTGCCCTGGCATGGGGATTCACCAGGACTGGAGCGTCAGAGCGTGCGGGTCACACCTGATTTAGTGCCCAGTGCCAGCAGGATCCTTCCCTCCTGCTCTGCCCCAGAGGGTGTTCCCTCTGGCCGGGGATGGCTCCAGTTATCCCAGGCTCGCTCCAGGAGAGGGCACCAATCCCTCACTCACTTATCCTATCAACCCGCGGAGCATGGGAGYGTCCGTGCCTGGGCTGGCAGGGATGCTGCTGTGGGGTCCACACCGGGAGCTGCGGGCCGGCAGAGCTCCCCCAGCCCCTGGCACTCCTSCCCGGGCCACATGGAGAGGGTTCATGGATGTTCATGAGGGAAATGGATCGTTTGGGAAACGGGAGTGGAGGGAGCAGCTCTGCCCTGTGCAATCCTCATGCAGGAAGGGAGGCAGCAGTGTGCCTGTGCTCACCCCAGCGCTTTTGCTGGGGAAAGGAGAGAGAAGAGGTGAGGCAATGAAATGTGAACTGCTCGTTCTGTGGTGTGTCAGGTTATGAAATAAAGCTCTGCTGCCTGTCCCATGGTGAGCTGCTCTCCTGCAGGGAATTCTGGGCGGGACCGAGGTGAATCGGGGGTGAATCAGCCCCGTCACTGCTCTGCCTGTCCCAGGAGGGAGGGGCTGGGGGACCCAGAGAGCCCCGGGGTGGCCCCAGGTGCATGGAAATGGCTGTTGCMCAGGGGGAGGCAGTCAGTGGAGGGATTTATGTTGTCACCCACACAGGAGGACTTTCCAGAGGCCAGCACTGGTTCTGTCATCAGGCACGAGGGACCCAGCCATGTTCCCAAAGGACTGGGGCTGTGCAGCCTCTGTCAGTTCGGGGCAGTGAGGTGTGTCCAGCTCGGCTGCTCGGGCACACCCTGGCATTGCTGCCGCCAGGAGCAGTGTTCCCACAGGGAATGTGATGCATCCCGTGTGTCTGCTGCAGGTGCAACCCCCTCATCAACCTGAACTACGCTGTCCTGCTCTACAACCAGGGCGACAAGCAGGGYGCCCTGAGCCAGTACCACGAGATGGAGAGGAAGGTCACCGAGGCCAGGGAGAGCAGCGCGCCCGACTTCGACCCCGAGGTTTGTGTCTGAGCTCAGGAGCCAGCCCAGGGCTGCCAGCAAACGAGAGGGAGGTTTGACTTGGAGTGCAATTATTAGGAAGAAATTGTGCTTATGAGATTTTGTGAGCGGAGCGGCGCCTGCTGAGAGCCGCTTGCTTCCTTTCTGCTCTTTGAAGCCCAGCTCTTCAATCAATACACAGCAAGACAAGATTCCCTCTTAATTAAGGGACTGAATTAGCGRAGATGTTTCCCCCGAGCACCAAGGCTGTAGCCAGCTCTGCACAGCTCTTTCTTTGTATTTTTTTGATGGTGCTGTTGACTTACTGTTGTCTGAAGTGTCCCTGCTTACAATGCTCTTCTCTTTTTGCTTCCTGACAAGATGGTGGAGATGGCCCAGAAGATGGGAGCAGCCCTGCAGGCTGGGGAGAGCCTGGTGTGGACCAAGCCTTCCAAAGAGTCCAAATCCAAGCAGAAAGCTGCTGTGTCAGGGAAATCCAGCTCTCAGCAGCCTTTGGGCTCCAACCAGGCCCTGGGTCAAGCCATGTCCTCTGCTGCAGGGTATGGGAAAACCATGCAGCTGCCCCCAGGTGTGTTTGTCTCCTCTGCTGCTCTTTCATGTAGAGCTGTGGGAAGGGAGAAGAGAAATCTCTCTTCCCTTGGGAAGAGTTACAGTGTTCAGGAAGGGATTGACTTGCTCACACAGCAGTGAGGGCAACATTTGGGGATAACTKTCCCAGATTTGTGGGTTCAGGAAGATGCTCTGTGGAGTGTATTACAGTCTCCTGCTTTTGCAGGGATGTGGGAGGCTGGGATAATTTCCCTTCCTGTGTGAGCTACAGTGGGCAAGATGCCATTAGCATGKGATTAGGTGATTTCAGCAGCCAGACCCCCTGCCTTCCTCTGGAAGAGCCCTGAGCTGTGTGACCAGACAGGCTGCTGCAGGGAGGGGAAAGGACAGACAGTTTTTCAAAGGACTTTCATCGTTTCTCTTACAACAATCACTGCAATGGGTTTGCTCCGAAGCCGCCCAGCCTTGCAGATGCTGCTGGGTTTAGTGGGATGGGACTGAGGGCTCTCAGGAGGTGCTGTGAGCCTCAGCCCACGGCTGTGCATGTTGGGGCTGGGTAGGAGCATCTCCTGAGCCATTCCAAGGCTGACCTGCTCTCACCCCTCAGCTTCCCAGGAGGAATTCACTGGAGATGTTGCTCATCGTGGTGATTTTCTGTCACTCTTGGTCTCGTTGCCTGTGGACTGAACCAGGAGAGTGGTTGTGTAATCCAGGCCTCTTTCTTTGGCGTCCCTATGGACCTGTTCCATTTCTCACACATGGAATAAACTTTCCATGCAGGGAAGATTTAGCCAGAAAATCTGAAAAATAAAACGTACCAAGGGTTTAGGATTTACCTGAAGGACTTTATGATCCTGCTCAGAGAAGGGAGCTGGTTCATGACATTAGTTGGCACCCTGAATTGAAGTGTAGAAACAGCTTGTGTCCTGTTGTGATTTAATTCTGTAAGTAGCTATTTCAGCTGCCTGGAAACTCTCTCCACATTTGCTAAAGCTGTGAACTGAAAACAGCACTTTGGTTTGGGCTCCAGCTTGAGGAGAATGCAGCTGCAGTGGAACTGGAAATGGCACTTCCCTGGAGGGTGGGGAGGCCCTGGCACTGCCCAGAGCAGCTGTGGCTGCCCCTGGATCCCTGGCAGTGTCCAAGGCCAGGTTGGACGGGGCTCTGAGCACCCCGGGACAGTGGAAGGTGTCCCTGCTCATGACAGGGTGGGATGAGATGAGCTTCAAGCTCCCTTTCAACCCAAACCATTCTGAGATTTTAGTATTCTAGAAAATGTTTTCCCTTGCAGAGCCTGAGTTAATTCCTGTTTGTACTGAACTCTGCCAGCTGAGTGAGACCCTGTACCTGAGSTTCATTCGAGCAGGACTTTGGGCACTGTCAGGTCTGATTAACTCGTGTCAATAAGGAATCTCAGGGGGATGAAAAGCTGTGTTTTTCTGCATATCTGCTGCTGGGATGRGCATTAAGAACAGACAAACACATGTGGCTGTAGATTAACTTTACCTGTGTCCTCTCCCCAGGTGCTGCAACACCAGCTCTACCAAAAAAGCCTCCCTCCCTGCCTCTGGAGCCAGATCAGGGGCAGGACTCGGAACCGAGCCCCGAGGAGAACTCAGCTCCCACGGGGGACGAGGAGCAGAGCAAGGAGAAGCACCAGAGCCAGGAGGCAGCRGAGTAGGGAGCCTGTTCTGGGCAGGACAGGGGGCAGGAGCATCTCCAGGGCTGCCTGGCATCTGGAAAGGGCCCTGTCCCCCTGCCCCATGGTGTTCTCTCCCCACTGCCAGTCAGTGATTTTAGCTCGTGGGCTCTGCCTTGTCCCAGAAGTCATGGCAGTGACCCCAGGTTTCTGTTAGCTACCCTTAGTGTGCTCACAGCTCACCACGAGACTGGAAGGCCCAGCTCTCCACAGGTTGGGTGTGAGTCCTCCACAGGGACATTTAGCAAAGCCAGCAGTAGAGATTTAGGAACCTGGACCCTGAGGAGGACCAAATCCTTCCAGTGGCTGAACTGGTAAGCAGCTGATTGCATAAAGAACCAGAAAACTGAGGCTTCAGGGCTCTGTGCTGGCTGGTGGAGCTCCCCAGCTGTCTGCCAGTGCATTTCCTGCTATTAGTTCTGCACTGTTGGATTGTACCACTCCACAATTACCGGCCCAGGAGAGGAATTCAGTAATGGGAACTTCTCCGARGCAGCACAAGCAGGGCTCTGGGTACATCCCAGCCTCCAGCTGTGCTTTGTGGTTTGCTGCTCTTATCCAGAACATTGATGCATCTTTAGAGCCCAGCCAGGAGCTGAAGTGCTCTCCTGCTCCTTGGAGAGCAGTGAAAGAGTAGGACCCATCATCTTCCCCTGGGTCCTGATSGCCCAAACTGCCTGTTTATCTTAAATGTGGATTTTTTTCCCCCAGCCATCCTTTCTGCTGAGTTTCATGTCAGTTCAGCTCTCCTGTAAGAATTCCCTCCTGCCAGGAGTTAAAGTAAACAGAATTTTTTGTGGAGCACTGGCAAATTGAAATGAACCAGACAAGGTGCAGAGTAAGTCAGGTACAGTGCAAAGGTTTTTATTCACATTTAACTTCTTACACTGAAAGTTCCTGCAGTCTAATAGAGTGCCTGGGAAGAAGAGGTGAGGGATGCAGAGCAGGGGTTGGGAATTCTCCACCTCGGCCCCAAACCTTTAATTCAAGGCAGATTTTTGTCCTAGGATGCTTCAATAGGATAAATGTCACACAGGGAGCATGTAGTGCATTTGGAGGTACACTGAAGGGATTTATTTTAAATACTTATTTTGTGAAAAGCTTATGCAACAATGAACCAGTTCTTCTATGAAACGAAGCAGTAGCACCTTCTTATTTCCTGGGAGCCTTTTGAAATATGTAATTCCAGTTGGATAATAAACAGAACTGCAATTCCTCATGCTGTCCCCTTTCCTCCCCTGGGCATGGTGATGGTGGCATTTGCACACAGTAAATTCCTGGGATCTTTCTGGAGAGCATTTTTGTGCTAATGATAATGAGGCTGGACTGCTCTTTCAGCTGGAATTAAGCAAGGGACTCTTCAGCAGGACTGCATGGAGGTATTTAGGGATTTTGGAAATCACACCTTATGTTCCAAAACCTGTTTCTGGCATCAGCCATGATTCTAATCCCCTCTTTCCCCCCTTAACGGAAAAGAATCATGAGCTTAATTTGCAGGGAAGCAGAAACCATCTGCTTTAGGACTTTTCCTCCCCTTTTTAGGAAAAGGTCTGTGATGAATCAGGGTAAATCACAGAGCTCACCAAGGTACTTTGCAGCTTGGCTTCTGCACAGGAGACAAACTAAAAGACATTCAAACATCAATGCCTGGGCAGCAAGACCTTGTTCCAGCCAAGAGTAATGATCTGTCCATCCAGCAACATATGTTCAACCCCAAAAACGTGGTGTTGAGGTCCCTGAGACRACTGGACGCTGATTTATGGTCCAGGCAGTGTTAATGGGGACGTGYTGTGCTCCTGTACGTGTTTGCTCAGTTGTGACTGAGCAGGGTGGATGTGGGGGCCTTAAAGCTGTTGAGAATTTCRATTTCCCAGTTGGGAAGTGGGTTTGAGTTGGCAAAGCCTCTTCTGCAGAGACAGACAAGCCTCAGTGCTGAATGGGGGAAAACTTTACTAAAATAATAAGCTCCACACATAAATGCACTCAAAAAGAGCCCGTGTTATAACAAGTACTCCATCTGCCAAGACTTTTCTGTAAGAGAAAACCCAGTTCTGCTACAAGGAGAGCTTTACCATTCTCTCAAACCACACTGCTCCAAAAAATCTGCGTTTTTAATAGAAGATGCWGCTGAGATCTGAACCCAGTTTCACCCAGGCTGCACCGAGGGGCAGCTTTCCTGAGAATTTCACAGGGGAAGGTTCTCGGGTTATTTTTTCCATTGCCCCCACTTGCATTTTAATGGGATAATTCCTGCCAGCATTTGTGTTCCTCAGCTGCTCGGCACAGGCCACTCCCAGGCTGAGGGGAACAGAGCTCCTGGCACAGGAGGAAGTGGCCGTGTGCTCTTTCCAACCTGCACCTTTCCTCTGCTGAGAGAAATCCTCACACCAGAGCCTGCATCAGTGACTCCCTGAGAATTCAGCCTGGGTCCACCTGAGATACCACACGAGCAACTGCTCCAGAGTGACAGAGGAGAACRTCATCCAACATCTCCAACAGGCAGAACCAGCGTTCCTGGCTCTGAGAGCCAWGTTTTACTGCAGAGGTTACTCACACCCAGTATTTTCCTTTGGTTTTCTCCTGATTTCCCAAAAAGTCAGTGAGGTTCCTGTGACCAGGAGTAGCAAGGGAGTTGTGTGACACAAGTGCTGCTCCAGAGTGCACAGAGACAACACTGGCACAGGGATACTTCAGCTGGTCACTCCCAACCCTCAGCTTTCACCCACCCTGCAAACTCCAAAACAACCCCAAACCAACATTTAGGGTAACTGGAAATTGAGTTCTGCTGTACCATTTCACAGAACTGTCCCATTGTTAAACTCCTTGCTCAGGACATGGCTGGAAASGTCACCCCGTGGCACAGAAACCCTGATAATTCAGTGATCATTAAGAATAAATAGCAAAACATAAAGCCAAGCACAACTGCTGAGTTTTCCATTGGATTTTGGAATGGATTTAGTGCTCTGCTGTTYTCCAAGGCTTGGATTCCTTGGATTGGTGGCTAAGGAGTGGAGCCAAGCTCTAAACCATCCAGCACAGGTCAGAGCAGTTGCTGAGGTCTTTGCTAAAAACTGAGGAAAAACATTTCATTACCAGTTCAGTAAAAAGAACTTGGGAATGGAGGGCAGGTTTAACTGGGTCTCACACATCCCAACAGGAGATAACCAGGAAATACAAGAAAATCAAGTATTTTTTTAGTAATGCTACGAGACTCCCCTGGAAAGAGTTGGATTTGGGGTTGGCTCTTCCATGGCAGAAGACCAAGGGCACAGCAGTGTCCTYTGAGACTCTGCCAGGCCCCTGTGATTCACACCTCCCAAATCATCCAGCACTTGACCCTCAGTCAGTGCCATGCATAGAAAACACGGGAAGGATGCTCATTTTGGATCCTGGATAACAAAATAAACTCAAGCCAAGGTGGGACACAGGATTGGAACCACCAGCTTGCTCACGGAGAGCTGGCACAGTGCTGAGCTCAGCTGCTGCCCCTCCAGCAGAATCTGTGCATGAACAGTTCCAGTGCAAACCCTGCTCCAGGGGTGTGAGGCTGCCTGAGCTTGGAGCCATCCAGCACTGAGGATTTCAAGGTACMAGTAACACACAAGTTGTACAGACAGACAGGATCAGGGGGAGCAAGGGCAGCTCCAGCCTGGTTGTGAAGCTTTGGTACTTTTGCAGCTGTTGAAGCTGCTTTTCTTTGCTGTCACAAGTGTAGCTGTGCAAGGGTGTGAGACTGCAGGTGCAGGGGAAGGGTTTCAGGAGCCCTGCCTCCCTGTCATCAAYCTGGGAAGGCAGAAGAAGTGAAGCACATCATGTTCACAGCATGTGAAACACAGCAAAGGCTGCTGGGCCCCTCCATTCCACTCAGATTTATTACCATATAGATTGTTTCACAACTTCATCAGGGATCCCACTRGCACAGCTGATGAACGGGTCAGGGTGGTTAAGGATTCTCCTTGGGAAGTGACTTTGGGGACAGGTGAGCTCTGTGCCTGAGAAAGCACATTTGGGTGGAGCAGCAGCCTGGCCATGCCGAGCTGCTGGCACTGGAGCTGGGACTCACCGTGCCAGGYGTTCCCAGCACACCCAGAATGGGCCATGGCACAAATGGCACCTGTGAGGAGCAGCAGCAAGGAGCTACAATAATTCCCAGTTCAGATTTTAGACCCAGATGATTCCTAAGCAGTAAACTCTTTTTTTTTGTAATTTTTTACAGCAATTATTTACTTGAAGTAGATTTTTAAAAGCTGATTTTGGCCTGTCATGTTCCTGTTCAATGTAAGCACAGCTGACCCTCAAAGGTCTGTAAGTGCAGTCTCGTGGTTGTAAGTGGCCATAAGGAAWGTCAGTCCCAGCAGTCTCACATCCCTGGAAGTGTTTTGGGAAGAAAGAAGTGAAACACAGCAGCAGGGCCATTGCTGGTGACAGCTTGTGTRTATTTAGTTTTGTTTCGTTTCCAGCTCGAGAATCCACAGAGTTTGGCCCAGGGTCAGGAAAGTGGGACCCAGCGTAAGCCAAGGATCATTTCCAGCTGGCAGATCCCCGGCCTTTGGTGGCCCTAGGAGTGGAGTGCCAAAGGCCACCAGCCCAGGCTGCAAAAGAGCCTTGCCAATGGCCCTGGACCTCCAAGACAGCTGAAAGGAGAGGGTCATTTATTTTCAGTTTAGGAAGACTAMACCAGGACTCCAAGTCCTGTGCTACAGTTAATYAATGATAATAATAATAATAGTAACAAAAATAATAAATCTGTGTATAAATACTTCCAGTCTTAAGAAGATCCTGCACCTGGATAAAAAGCTGAGACTTGAGKGAAGCTCAGGGTGGGATGAGCTGCAGGAAGACACAGCACTGAGTGCACGTTTGCTCTGTGCAACACAGAAGGCTTTGCTCTGGGGAAAGCTGAACACACATGGCAGACAGCATTGYGTGCTGAGTCAGTGTGAGTACAACAGCTGCCAATTCTCATCCCTGCAGAGCAGTCAGGATGGTTSTCCCAACAGGAGAACACTCCTGACAGCAGCTGAGTTACTGCAACTCATGGCTCCACCCTGAGCAGACTCTCCTCGCTCCATTCAGGTGCACACACTGACCTGGAACAACCTCCCCGAGYTCTGCTGAGGCACAGGCTGATTGCACTGAACCCAGCTCTGCTGAAAACTGCCTTGAGAGCTGTGCACAGACACTCCCAGCTCCTGAAGTGGCCAGAGACAAAAAAAACATGCTGGAAAGAGAGCAAAGCGTGCTGGTGCTCTGCAATTCTGAGCGTGTGACTGTGAAAAGGTAAAAAAAAAATAGAAGCAAAGTATTTAACAAGGACACATGGTTCTGCTTTTTTAATGTCAAAGGCCAGAGCAAAGTAACTATCAGTGACCTATTAAAAAAAAACCCCAACATCAAACCCTAAAAAGGCCTCTTTACTTCAGTCTTACCTGGAAAATGCTGTTGCAGCTCTAGAGCTTCCAGAGGGACCTTCTCCAATATATTAACCTTTCCTAACAGAAGGCGGGGAGACTGAAGAATTTGGCACAATCATTCTCAAACCAAAAAATGCATCTCCAGTGCTCCAGAGCTTTTCTGTAACACACCAGCTGTTAGCAGAGAAGGTATTTAGTGAACAGCAAACGCAAGGAACCGTTTGGGGGTTCCCTGGCAGGGAAYCAGAGCTGTCCCCCAAACAGAAACCCTGATTATCTTCACTCCTAGTTTTYAAAAACCTTAAGCACAGATTGCCGGGGCTCAGTCGAACACCTTTAGTCACCAATATCCAGAATCACCTGTGCAGCCTGCAGTAGGTTCAGTCTGTGTCACATTTTGGGACCATGGCTCCTTCTGGGGCTGGGGACACAGCGAGGTGATTTCACCAGGCAATGATTCCATCCTCACCCCAAGCAAGGTTTGCAATGTGCTGGGAGGAGATAACCCACCAGCCTTTTATTTCCAATTTAACAGAGGCCAGGCAGGGCCAGGCACTGCTGTGCTCTCCCTGGGATCCAGGGGCAGGAAATTCTCCTGTTGCTGCTCTTTCCAGCACTACCAGAAAAGATCCATCCTGAGCTACGAACAGCAAACTTTGCCAGCCGGGGATTTTGGTCTTTGTGTCCCTCCTGCCTGCTTAGGACAAAGCCAATTTTCACATTAAATACTGAATCATCTGCACCTGCACGTGAAGCGCTCGAGTCACTGCCAAGTGACTGGAATGTAGCCGACAGTTTGTACCTGGAATTATTCTTTGGCTCTTTTTCAGTGATACCCAGCAAACACAGCACACCCTGGTTCCGTTCCTATCCCACCACCGCCTCAAATCCCAGCCYGCGGCTCTCGGACCGCGCGGCGTCGCAGGAGAAGGAGGGTCCCGCTTTCCTACTGAGGATACGCTTCGGAATAGAACAGTCCTTCGGCCGAAATGGCATCCCCGAGCCCCACGGTCCGGACGGGATCCTTGCACACCAGCACGGGGGTGAAGTGGAAGGAGATGCCCTCCCTGTGCCAGTGCACCACGGGCTCGTCCGGGTTCAGGGAGATTTTGGCCGGCGCCTCCGTGTGCGAGGTGACGAACTCGAGCGGCGCCTTGAGGAACACCTTGCTGGTGTCGATGGTGTCGGTGGCGCAGGCCTGGGTACCAGCAGCCCTGGCCCCGGCCGCCACCGCCGCCGCCTGGTTGCCCCAGTGGCCGTCCACGGTGACCAGGATGTGGTAGGCCAGCGTGTGGAAGTGGATSCGTGTCAGGTCCGAGGCGCGCTCCGCCGTCTTGCCGTGCTCCTTGAGGATCCAGAAGAGGATGTCGCTGACCATCCCCACGTCGGGAATGCCGCTCCAGGCGGCCAGCGAGGCGTGGGGCCCGGAGGCGGACTGYGTGAGGAACAGCAGCTCCTGCTCGTTCAGCCCGATGGAGTTCACCAGGGGCAAGACCTGCTAACAGAAACAGGGAACGGCGGGTTTGCCTTCCAGGGCACACTCACACCTGCGATTCCTCCCCGAGCTCTGGTTCTTGCAGTGCCCTGCTCCTGAGCAGAAGSAGCACCCAGCTTCCCTGTCGCTGCACTTGTGCAAGTTGGCAAGAATTACTTAGCCAAGAAAACATTCCATTTGGTGCAATTAATCTTCCAGACACACACTCTGACAGTAAAGAGTAACAACACATCAGCTCCATATAAAACATAACACTGAGATCACAGCTGTGTCAAGCTAAACAAGAAACCATCAGGGAAGAAATTCTGCAAAGAATCTGAGGGATTTTTTAAATTAAAAATTCAGCTCCAATTCAATTCTTGATTTATCTTTGAATATTTAGGGCAAACGTKGAGTTTTGATTTCTCTATTTATGCACCAGTGTGTGCACTGTGAAACTGACCCCGGTAAGAAGAGACATCCTTTCATTTTCCTTACCTGATGCATAATGTTGCTCATAAAATCCTGATCAGTCATACTGGCCAGCTCCAGGTGTATGGGAATGTCAGTAGGGATATCGGATATGGAGGCCACAGCCTACAGGAAAACAGAAAAAACAATCCTAAAACATGTATTTCTTGAAAAACAGAGTGAGAAAAAGGGTTCTGACTCGAGATACACATCCTTTAATCTTCCTGTGTGTGGATTTAAACAATTCCAATGGGATGTCTGACCTGTGTATGTACTGCCAAGGGAAGGAAATAAAACAACTTTCAGTTTGCAGAATTGCAGGGCAAGAAAAATGTATCTAACCCTCATTTGCTCCCAGCTCAGCACCTTTCTATTGGATTAATTCCAAAACCTCACAGATCTGAAGCAGCTGCAGGAGACCTGATCCTAGAACCCCTAACAGGCCTTGCATCAGGATGAGCCCTTGGCTGTCAAACAGGTGGTGCAAGACARATGCTGCTTAAAGAATGCAAGTGTTGATTAGAACCTGGATCTTCTCAGTATCCACCATGGCAAAAGTGTGGTTTGGATAAGCCCAGGAACCAGATCCACACCCTCCAGCCAGGCTACCAGCCCTGTTTTTATCTCCCCGGGACACTCCACTGAATCTAAGAAAAACCAGTGGTACAGGATTGGACTGTGGCCATTCCTGTAGCACCCACCCTCCTTTTGGCATTCAGTGCTGGGATCTGTGGGAGATCTGAAAGCACGGCCTTCCTCCACCTTCAAACCTGGGAAAACAAGGCCTTGGAGGGGAAATTGAGGAGATTCAGGGATTGAGAACATCACCTCCACGAGCCGTCTGTGGCGCATCTCCTTGCTCTGCCCTTCCATCATGTGGAGTCCCGAAAGCACCACCAGGTCTGGCTGGAATTCATCCAGGCTGGACACAAACACCTCCAGCATGTTCAGGGCRCCGTTGGACAGGTCGTGGGAGAAGATGAAGCGGTTGGCAGCAGGGGCCCTCACTCGGCCCCACTCCTCACCTGGGGTGGAGCAAACAGCACCAAGTGGGTGGGAGTGACTTCATTCCTGGGCAAGACCCCAAATTCCATGGGCTCCAGCAGCAGCAGGAAAACCCATGGAATTGTTTTAGCCATTACATGAGGATTATCCTGAGTTTCATCGGCATGTGGTTAAATYTGTGTTTTCAGGGAGTGTTTTAGTGCTCATGGAGCTACAGAATGACACTCCTCAGGCTCAGATCAACCCCAGTGATGTTCAGGAGTCCCCCTGAATGCTCAGCCTTTGGCAAGGTACCTGCTTGGTATTCCAAGATGAGATGGAATTCATCTCTCTCCTGCATGGACTCAGGCGGCACAACCACATTGTCATCGAGCAGATCGTGGAGCTTGGGACCAACGGGACCACACAGGAGGATCTGGAAAACAAGGAAAAACAAACAAGGTTTCCCTTGCCAAAATTCAAGCATCACCAAGACAATTGGTTTTAAAAAGTTAATAATTCAGTTTTTAAAAATCAGCTTGGAAGTCCAACCATATGTTCCAMCACCAGAACTTAAGAAATAACTGCCAGATCCCCAAAACCTACGGGGAAGTGACATGAGACAAGCAAATTGAAGAAGACAAGCAAATGGCACAAAATGTTTGGAACATGTGTGTACCTTCAGGTCTGGATTTGTGGCGAGCTTCTGCCCGATGAGAGCAGCATTTCCTCCCACGTAAAGCTGTAAAACAAACAGARCTGGGTGTGGGCATCCCTTTCCTTTGGCACATTGAAACATGTTCAGTCCCCAGCACAGCCTGGACATTTTGGCTTTTTAGGGCTCTGCAGTACCCAAGTTACTAAAGGTTACCGRGGCTGAAGGCTAAATGGTTTTACAGTTCTCCATGAGATCTCAACTGGATAAGCATTTTCTTATTTTAAATGTAAAAGTTCACCTTCAGTTAACAGCCCTGTAAAATCATTTGATTCATAACACTCACAGTACTGTAAAAACCGACTCATTCAGCACATAAACAGCACATAAATCCTGTGCAACCTCTCTGTGGCTAAAACCCTGTGGGTTTTTAGCAAGGCTGATGAGGAATCATTTACAAACTGCTGCCTCCAGTTTGAGGTGGAGGTGGAGGTGAAACCTGCTGCCTGTGCCCACGTGAAATGAAAGGAACTGTGAAAGTTTCTTCACTTATAAACGTCAAACTTTCCAGTAAAACTCTGATTTGAGTTTGAAAAGCAGCGAATAGGGATTATCCTGAAGGCCACAGGTGYTCAGAGGAGGGCATGGAGCTGCTCTGAGGGCTGGAGCCCTCTGCTCTGGAGYSAGGCTGGGAGAGATGGGAGTSCTCACTTGGAGAGGAGAAGGATCCAGGGAGAGCTCAGAGCCCYTTTTGGGGCCTAAAGGGGCTCCAGGAGAGCTGGAGAGGGACTGGGGACAAGGGATGGAGGGRCAGGACACAGGGAATGGCTTCCACTGCCAGAGGKCAGGGATGGATGGGATATTGGGCAGGAATTGTTCCCTGAGAGGGTGGGGAGGCCCTGGCACAGGGTGCCCAGAGCAGCTGTGGCTGCCCCTGGATCCCTGGCAGTGYYCAAGGCCAGGCTGGAYRGGGCTTGRAGCACCCTGGGACAGTGGAAAGTGTCCCTGTCTGTGACAGGAGGTGGCACTGGATGGGCTCTAAGGACCCTTCCAACRCAAAGCATTCCTGGCTCCTCGGACAGAAAACACGTCAGTGATTCCTCACTCCCTGCCTCATCCCAAGGGGTGCTGGAGGCTCTTTTACAGTTTCAGCCCCATCTGGCTCTCATAGGGCATCTCTGACATTTCAGTTTGGGAAAGTCACCACTGAAAAAAACCCTCCCATTGGCTGCTGGGGCAGAATCCCACAGAAATCCTCAGCTCAAGCAAAATCCTCAACACGGAAATCCCAGAAACTCTCAACTSAAGCTACACCTCGAGTTTGTTCCTGAAGGATTTGCTCTCCAGAGGGACGATGGAAGTCACCACTGATACGGAAGATAAGGTTCCCAAGGCTCGTGTCCCGGCGCACACCCACCTGTGCCGTGGGRTGCTCCGAGGCCGTCCGTGCGATGTCCTGGAAGGCCTCGGCGTCGCTGAAGAAGCGCTCGGCGGCCGCCCCTCTCTCCATGAAGTGGCTGAAAGCCTCGCTGAGGTCCTGCCTGGAGCTCAGCACCGCGTGGTCCCTCCCGTTGGCGGGCTCCAGGCCCAGCGCCTCCAGCAGCTTCACCCCCGACAGAACCACATCCACGCAGGCGTTGACGCTGCCACGGAAGGAAAAGGTGTCTTGGAAAAACCCGACAGACCTCGGGGAGCGCAGGGAGGTCACGTCCCTGACTGTGCAGGGGCAGAACAGCCAACCAAAGGGACAAAACCTCACCAAGGCACAGGGATTCTCTGAAATTCTCTCCTAAAGCTTTCCCCATTTGTCTGGCTTTTTTATGCTCCACAGAAGAGAGAGATTTCTGACTTTCTGCTGAACTAAAACAGGGAAAGCTGCGTGGTCCAAAGGTGGTTGAGTATTTTACAATACAGCTTTTACCTTGTTTCCTGCCTTGGGCTCACTCAGAAGCAACAGGCATGGTAACAGTGGCACTTTAAATGCTTAGAAGGGGGTACCTGCTTCATATTCCAAGATTATTCCTGTTTATATTCTCTAAAATATACTAAATATATGTAATTATATATTTTAAAATAAATTTAATTCTTAAATATACTCAATTTTTTATTTAAAATATATTTAATTCTTAAATATACTTTAAAATACACGGTTTTTTCGGTTTAAAATGGGCACGCAATTCAAAACTGTTAAAAAACAGAAATGGAAGTGTTTAAGTCAGCTAGATCAGCCTCTGGAATTTCAACTGCTCCTAATAGTACCCAAACCCACACACAAACTCTCCACACAGGCTGGTTCTGTTTACAAGAAGTCAAGAGAGCAATTTGTCAGTAGAAATACAACAGCAATTTCTAAAGGACCATCCCGAACTTCCAGGAATAGCAGGCAGTGGAAACAGCAGAAAAAGCCTGCAATAGTAAGGGAGGGATCAGAGCCATTTCAGCAGAGCCAGGCTTTATGGAAAGTCTAACTTCCAATCCCCATTTCTCATTGATTTAATCACAGTCTAATTCAGACCGGAGGACAGGAAAGTTCCTGGCTGGAATAAGACCCTRACAAGACAATTTATAAACACTTGTCCTTGTCTCACTCTGTGGTTTCAGAGATATCAACATACAGCAAATACTTCCTGAGATGACACCAGCAATTATTTAAGCATCTTCTGGAGTTGCCACCAAGTGTCATTTCAGTTCCTCTGCCCCACATTTCCCTGACAGGGATCCAAACCATCCATCAAACTCATGCAGGATCCCTGATTTTCTCCACATCTCCCTCCCTGACACCCCAAGGGCCGGTTCCTGCTCGCAGCCAGTGTGGAGWGCTCAGCACTCAGCATTCCCTTGGCAGTGACCTCTCAGGAGCTGGATTTGGGCTGAAACACGTGAAAGCTGCAGCACACGAAATAAAGGACATGGAAAACCCTGAGGCTTTCCCCTGCACGAGGTAACCAGCGCAGAAATCCTSTGGATGTGCTTCACCTCCTACACTGAGGACAGAGAAATCCCCTCGCACGGCACAGAAAAGAAACCATAAGCTCAAGCAGYGTTTTAGCCCCAATTTTGTTTTAATGAATCGTTACAGATATTCCTCCAAGAGGAGGAAACCAAGTCACGTTYCTCTGCTAACACAGAGCTGCACAGCCATGGAAGGTTACAACACCCAAAGGCTCAACCTTCCAGTCAAATTATCCTGCCATGGCCATATATTTAAAAGGAAGYGAGTCAAGCGCTAAATATAATGTCTGCATTAAGGCTCAGCATTAAAGCCAGCATTTAAGATCAATGTGACATTCCTGAACTTTCCCCTTGTTCTCTTCCTTCTTTAAAAAGAGAAAGGGTGTTGAATTTCCCTGTGCTCAACATCCATTGCCTTCCCTGCCCCTTCACTCCTCACCTCTCTCCAGTGCTGCCCGAGCTCTGGAGATAACCATCTCTTCCCAAAGGCAAAGGCTTGGCACCCTTCTCCCCTTTGTAAATTTGTCCCTGGTACCTCTTTATTGCCATCCCGTGCTGGATGGATCAGCAGCTCCAACCAACCCTAACCCCAAYGCTCAGAATCTGGACACAGATTTGTTTTACACACAAGCAAGCTGGGACTAAGGTCCCTGGAGAGAGGCTGCCACCAGGGCCTGAGCCCGGCTTAAATCCCCACCACAGGAGCGTTCTGGATCATTGATCCCCTTGGCCGCTGTCCAGCTCAGACCCAGCAGCGCTCTGGGAGGTGCTGCAATTGCTGCTGGCTCTTGTCAGAAAATCATGGAATAGTTTGGGCTGGAARRAACCTTCAAGGTCATCTGAGTCCATCCCCTGCCATGGGCAGGGACACCTGCCACTGTCCCAGGCCACTCCAAGCCCTGTCCAGCCTGGCCTTGGGCACTGCCAGGGATCCAGGGGCAGCCACAGCTTCTCTGGTCCCTCCATCCCTTGTCCCCAGTCCCTCYCCAGCTCTCCTGGAGCCCCTCTAAGCCCTGCAAGGGGCTCTGAGMTSTCCCTGGATCCTTCCCTTCTCCAGGGGAGCACCCCCATCTCTCCCAGCCTGGCTCCAGAGCAGAGGGGCTCYAGCCCTGGAGCAGCTCCGTGGCCTCCTCTGGGCTCTGTCCAGCAGCTCCAGGTYCTGCCGATGCTGGAGCCCCGAGCTGGAGCAGCTCTGCAGGTGGGGTSTCACCTGCGCGGGGCAGACACACGGCAGCTCCAGGGCCATTCAGGCCGGGCCCCGCACACCCGAACGCGCACACTGCACACCCGCACACGTGGACAGCGGGATGCGCATCCCGGCCCAGGCGCGCTCCCGCCCCGCCGCCAGGGGCGCTCCCCGCGCGCTCCCGCACCTACCCGACGGCGACGCGCGCCCAGCCGCGCGCGGGGCGGACAATGGCCGCCTGCCAGGCCGCCACCGTGCGCGCCTCCAGCGAGCGGGCGCGGCGCAGCGTCCCCAGCAGCGAGGCCGAGAGCTGCCGCAGGGCCGCGGGGGGCAGCTCGGGGCCCAGCACGCACAGGTAGCCCAGCGCCAGGGCCAGCAGGCCCACGCACACCGACCGCTGCCACATCGCGCCGGGCGCGCTCCGCTCCTCCTCCCCCGCCGCCGCGCCTGAGGCGGGGCGCCTCCTTCCGCCGCCTCCGTAGCGCCCCGCCCCCGCCGGCCGCCGGATGGCGTAAACCGCTTCGGGAATCGCGGCGCGCCGCTCCCACTGCGAAATCTGCGTGCGGCCCTGCCGGGCTTTCGCGCCACTTCCGTAACTCGGTATGGGAATAGCGCTCCCCCTGCACAATCTGCGTAGAGCCCGGCCGTGCGGCCGCTTCACCGGCGTAACTTGGTACGAGAATGGCGCTCCCTCTACGCAATCTGCGTGCGGCTCGKCGGTGCGACCACGCCTCTTGGTTAACTCGGTACGAGAACAGCGTATGCGGCGCGCCGCTTCGTGAGGGCGGATGGCGGGGCGGTGGCTCCCTCACGGCAGCGCCGGGCCGGGCCGAGGCAGCCGGGTYCGCGGGGAGCTGGGGCGAGGAGCCYGCGGTGAGCACTGCCCTGGTGCCGGAGCCTTCAGCAGCGCTGAGATGATGTCTGGCTGCGCATCATGCCTCCATCCTCCTGTATACGGGGTACTACTGCTCCATCCCCTCCCCAGAGTTCCTCTTTGGTGCTCATAGTTCTCTGTTTCCCAGCACCTATGTGGGTCTGTGTTGTACAGCAGTGCCCGTGGTCCCACAGCTCCTCTGCTCTGCCTCACACCAGAGTTTCTCWAAAGGCTCACATCCGGCAATACAATCACTGTCCAAAGCTAATCACCAACCCCAGTATACATTCGGGTTGTTTTTTGGTGGAGTAGTTCCTGGTCTCGTCCTCTTCCGCAGGATGAGGTGAGGGTGAGGTGAGGGTGAGGTTGAGGTGAGGTGAGGTGAGGTTGAGGTGAGGTGAGGTGAGGTTGAGGTGAGGTGAGGGTGAGGTTGAGGTGAGGTGAGGGTGAGGTGAGGGTGAGGTTGAGGTGAGGTGAGGGTGAGGTTGAGGTGAGGTGAGGTGAGGTTGAGGTGAGGTGAGGGTGAGGTGAGGGTGAGGGTGAGGTGAGGTGAGGTGGCCTCCTCAGATCTGCCCACGCCCCTGAGGCTGCCTGTGTGGGGAGCAGGGCTGGGATCACCCTGTGCTGCCCGGTGCATCCATCGCAGAGAAGCTGTAGTGAGCAACAAGGGAGATTTCCCTTTTTAATGAAAGCGAGTTTTTCTGGGCTTCTTCAGAAATCACAGTAATGTTCACTCAGAGAATTCTGACAAAATTTGCAAGAGTTTGACAACTGAGTGCCRCAGCGCGTTGGCTGAGGCAGCCGATAATTTTCTTATTCAGTTCTGTGTTGTGAGTGATTGTCATCTCCTCAGAGTCTGACAAAGCAAACAGTAAAGGAGATAGAATAGTGGAAAGCTTTTTTGTTGTTTTTTTTTTTTTTTAATCTTTTTAGGATGGTATTTAGTCAGCAGCCATTGTAATGAATTCATGACTGGCCCTCGGGGCTCATTTGGCTGCCCTTCAGGTTCCCTTTCTTAAGGCATTGCCACAAAGGACTTCCTAATTTATTTATGTATTCTCTTCCTCTGAAGTTATTCCTCAGCGCGTTGAGGGTGCAAAGGTGGGCAGGACAGGTGGATGATGGAGGCTGGAATTGCTGGGGAAGGAGAGATTGAGAACAAGCTCTCCTCACCTGGCAGCTGATGGTGCCCTGGGGCACTGACTGGGTTTGTGAGCCTGAAGTGTTATTAATGTGATGATCTTTRGGATCAGAATACTGAAAACAAACTAGAGGCCTTTCTGCCTTCCCTGTTCTTCAGCAGATCCTTCAAACAGTTCTTTATCCTCAAATGCATTCCTGCTGTAGTGCCCCTTTGCAGAGTCTCATCTTCTCTCAGACCCTGTTGAGCTCACCAGAGCTGCTCTGTTAATGTGTAGATCCCCTTTTCCTTTGCTCAGGTGGTCTTTGGGTTTTGTCAGTAGCTTTTTCATTYGAACAAATTTAATTGTTTCCCCTTCAGTGCTTTTCTGGCTGATGTTTGATCTGTCTGTGATTATGAAATCTCGCTGGTTCCGCGCTCCCTGGGGGAGAGGCATACCAGGCTCTGTGGTTACAAACAGCCCTCCAGCCCAGGCAGGCAGAKAGAACAGAGCAAATACCTGCCCAAAAACCCTGCTGCAATGAGGGCTTCACCTGTGGGACTGGGGCTATTTATAGCCTTRTCACAGAACATCATAATTAGATGTGCCCAGGGGGCAGCCTCAACGCAGAGCATTGTCACCACTCGGGGACCCCRTTATTAGTCCCATGCCAGGGTGTGGCTGTGAGCAGCAATCTGACACAGCAATTCTTTGAGCAAGTAAGGCATCCAATTCCACACTGGGGTGATTTGTTTGCCACCTGATGCTGAGGCAGTTGTTGCCCTGAAGTCTAAAATTGTCTTTTTTTTTATTTTTTTACAACGGGTGCAGTTTCCACACGGATGCAATTGGAGCTGCTGAGGAGGAACCAGCACTCATTGGTCTCTGTAAACTGCTGCTGCTCAGCCTTCGTGGACAGTTCCACCAGTGCATTTGAACGAGGCTGCAAACTTAATTGTAAGATTCATTTTACAACCTGCCAACAAAAATAAGAGGTTTAGAAAAAGATAAATTCCCTCAGAGAAGCTGTGGACTTAAAGAGCTAAACAGCCATTTCTTGGTCAACATTTATTTTTAAGCCAATGCAGATCTARGTTTGCCTGAAACAGCCAAATTAGAGGTGAAACTACCAGCTGAGATCTGAARTGCAGCTCCTTATTGCCTGCCCTTGAGCCACCCCGTGGATTCCAGTTAGAGGGGGACAGAGCTGTTGGGTTCATAGGAGCTAACTCAGACTGAGTAAAAAGTAGTAATTRAGTACTTGTTTAATTATGGAAATAGCAAGCTGATTCCTTCTGGATCGCTGCTTCGTGTCCTTTCAAAGATACAACCCACTGATCCCAAGAGTTTTCACTGGGATACTTTTATTAAAAGCAGGGGAAGAGAAGGGAAAGAGAAGGGRTTTTTTAGAGTGGAAAGAGTTAAAATTGAATGTCAACAGTTTTCCTTCATTTCTTGTCCTTGGTTTTATGAAGTCCTTGTATAAGAWATCTTTTTCTTGACAGTTTCATGGCTTGAGCTGCTTGTGACTTGGGGGGTGGAAAAGGGACAGTGGTTTTAATCACTCTTCAGTTATTGAAAATGGAACTTGTTCCCTTTAGGAGAGAAAAACAGAAAAGGTGAAAAAAAGGGCTTTTTCTGCAGGAAGCAGAAAGACAAAGGATGTGTTCCTTGCATGTTTGAAGTTGGGGATGGAGAATTGGACGTGTGGCACCTGTTTTCAGGCCACTCAGAGCTGTGTGAGCTTCTGACTTCTCTGAATTTGCTTTTCTGACCATGAGCTTGGTTTGGACAAGTGAGGGTTTGCCAGACCCTCATTAGGCAGGAGTCAGGAAGGGAGGGAACGAGGGAGGGCAGGGGGAGGAAGCAGCAGGCAGGGGTGAAAGCCAAAGCTTCCAGTTCCCAAAGGAGCTCTGCAAACCTGTTTTTCTTACTGTGAACTCACCAACTTGAAGCAGTTGTGTTTGCTCCTTATTAAGTTGAATTTCCATATTCAAATGAACTCATTCCCTTTGACCTACTTTGGCCAGTTAAGCTTTAGGCCAGAGCACGATGCAGAGAGGGGAGGGAGGGGCCTTCCTGAGCTCTTTTGTGCTGTTGGGGTCGGTGATGCGTGTCCACAGTGCCTGGGATGGAATCTGGCTGGAGCTGATGAACACTGGGTAGGACCTGGGGCAGCATTTGCATAGCAGGTCCTTGCAGCCCTCTTAGCTCCCATCCTGTCCAACACTCCCAACGAATCACCCCTCATGTCTTCTTCCCCATGCACCCTGGAGTCAGCTGTCAGGGTTTTGTGCATCCATCTCACTCATCTGTGTGTCATCACACCTTGCTGTCAGCCTGCCTTGGCTCACAGGCTTTGTTTAATCTGAGCTGGGCATTCTTTCCAGAACCACACATCGCTCCATGTGCATGGAATCCGTGCCTGCCCGTGACATTCCATGGGAGCCACCAGCCCAACACGTGGGGTGGATGGTCAGTGCTGCTGTGGCTCCACTGGGAGAGAAAAAGAAAACAGTTAAAGGTGGGCTTTTTGCATGGATCCTAATGAAGGCCTGGAGAATTCAGAAAGTTTCTGCTGAGCCATGCAGATGAGCAGAGGAGCTCCAATTAAAATACAAACTCTGTGTTGTTCTCAGAAACTGGGCAATGTTCCCCATCTGAGCTCTGCCAGCAGATCTCAATCCTGGACTTCACACCCACTGCTTCTCTGCTCTGTGAGACACCCACTCAGCTTGGCCAGCATAGCTCAATCTCCATCTGAAACATCTCGTGCTGTTCCAATTCTGGGCCCTTTTGGAGCAGAAAATGCCATCTCTCTACTAAATTGTGCCAAATTGCTTAGTTTTGGCCGCAGAACTCATTTTCACTTGTCACCTAATGGGGTACCTGGGGACTTCCATCTCYGCTGTCAGCAGCAGAGGAAGATTCATGTGAAAGCCCAGCCCCCTGCTAAGCCCCTAATTATATAGTGATGTGTTAATAACAAACACTCTTTCATGTCTTGGCAGTTGCAAAGCTCTCCTCGGTGGTGCAGCACTTCAGAAGTAAAATCGCAYGGGAAAGATGCAAGTCCCAGTTTTAAATAATTAGTATCAGCTTCTCTGGCAACTCTGTTCTCARAGTGAGAGTTGGGAAGAGTTTGAAGCCAGGTGCCAGCTGTGTGGATGTTCTGCAGAATCTGAGCCACTTTGGAGAGATTTGCTGTTGCAGAAGTGTTTTTGCACAGAGAATCTCTCCCTCCCTCCCTCCCAGGTTAGGAATCTGCCTTCCTTGGAGACCTTGCCACCTCCCAGTTTTTGAGAGTTCAGCAGTGGGAGGTAGAACGGTTTCCACGTTGCCTGACACACCAGGGCTGGAGCTGGCATCATCCTCATCCAAATGAATGCATTTCTTTCAACTGGAGCCAAATGGCTGGATTTTGCACTGCTGGTTGCTTGCAGCCTGTGGTGCCCAG